CATTTTACTTCACACTCTTCCATATAAACTGATGATTATTAATATAGGGTTTTGAACTGCATTCTAGCTGTAGACTTTCACAACATAATAGGTAAAACACATTTCTAGTTTCACATTTCCACGTGAGATAGCATTAACTGAAATTATGGAACACACAACTTACTCAGCTACTTACACACACACAAACTTCAGATTACTGAATTATTTGCTTAAAACCAGGTAATTCTCCAGCTGAAAGCAGACTAAATTTTGGCAGCAGTCGTTTGAGAAAAAAATGTGCATGCAGAAAGCTCAACAATAAACTTGTTCTGCAAGCATGAGTGCAGTAAATGCAACACCTCGAAGGAAAATGAGAAAAGAGAATGTCACACAGTGTATGTAAGGTGGAACGGGCGACAGGTACTCAAGAGGAATATGTAAACATCACCCATGAGCACAAATGGAATATGAGCTGGAGTTGGCAGGGAACAAAAAGACCTTACGTAAGTTACGTAAGTACAGTAGCAGCAAAAACTGACCAAGGTAAGAGTACGTCTGTAGTGAATGAGGCATAAGACCAAGAAACAAAAGAAATGGAGTAGGTATGAGAAAGGACATTGAAAAGCTGAAACTATGCAATGCTTTCTTTGCCTTGCTTTTATTGATAAGCTTTCTTCTCAAGCTTACCAGGGTTCCTGAGCCTCATGGTAGTGCCTGGAGGACTGAAGTACTATTCACAGTAAAGGGTGGTTTAAGCAAAAAACATCTGAGCAAACTGCACATAAACAAGTCTGAAGGGAGAAGAGGGGATGCACTGGAGGATGCTGAGGCTAATGTCACAGTGACATAGGGTCACTTTGGTCTCTTCTTTGCACGGACACAACCATCAAAATACCCGACTGCAAGACAACCAAACTGCAAATATCATATCCATCTTCAAGGAGGAGGACCCAGTGAACTTCAGGACAGCCAGCCTAACCTATGTCTATGGAAAGATTACATCACCCATTTTCCTGGAAGTTATCTCTAAAAACCTGAGAGGCAATGCCTGACCAACCTGACTGCCCTCTTATGTTGCAATGTTTGATTCAGTATATGTGAGGAAGGAAGAATATTTACGTCAAATGTAACAAGCTTTTGAAGCAGCCTACCAGCAGATTTTGCAGCCAAATTAGAGGTATGGATTGGATGAGTGGACTAACAGATAGGTGGAAACATGACAGTCTCAGGAAAAGCTCAACACGATACAGCAGTGTGTGCAGTTAGAGCCCAGAAAGCCAATCATATCCTGCACCTCATCAAAGGAAGCATGACCAGCAGGCCCAGGGAGGTGATTCTACCTCTCTCCTCCACTCTCGTGAAACACTCCCTGAAGTGCTGAGTTCAGCTCTGGGGACCCCAGCACAAGAAGGACATGGATGTATTAGAATGAGTCCAGAGGAGGGCCATGAAGATGATGAAAGGGCTGGAGCAGCTCTCCTATGAACACAGGCTGAGGGAGTTAGGGTTGTTCAGCCTGGAGAAGAGAAGGCTCTGGGCAAACCTTATGGTGGCCTTCCAGGTCCTCCTTCCAAAAGGAGGCCTACAAAAAAGCTGGGGAGGGACCCTTAATCAGGAAGTGTACTGACAGGACAATTGGTAATGGCTTTAAAGAGGGGAGGTTTAAATCAGATATAAGAGAGAAATTCTTTACGCAGAAGGTGGTGAGGCACCAGCACAGGTTGCCCAGAGAAGCTGTGGATGCCCCATCCCTGGAAGTGTTCAAGGACAGGCTGGATGGGACTTCACACAACCTGATCTAGTGGGAAGCGTCCCCGCCCACGGCAGGCAGCTGGAAGTTGATCTTTAAGGTCCTTTCCAACCCAAACCGCTCTATGATTCTGTGACTACTCAAAGCACATCGACAGCATTTCAAAGTCCCAGTCCCATTGCAGGTCTTTATTTGTGGTGTTATTTGAGGGCGTGGAATGTCAATACTGCAGTCCAAAGCAGTAAACTAAATTCTAAAAATAGAAAGAATCAAAATCTTCACAATGAGGGTGGTCACACCCTGGAACAGGTTGATCAGAAAAGTGAGGAATAACCAAGCTTGGAGACACATAACATTTGACAGGAAAAAAGCACGAGCAACCTTACTAGCTTCAAAACTGGTCCTATTTTAACAGGATAGGAGCATGTGACCTTCAAAGCACCCTTCCAACCTAAGTTTCTCTATCATTAAAAAACACAAATGTGAAGTTCATCTCATATGATATCAGCTCTAGTCAATCGGGTCCAACTGTGCCAGTAGAGGAGGTTATAGCTTCTCTTTAAATACCAGTGATACTGCTTCTAAAATTGACCCCTAGAATCAGAATTAGATTTCCTGAGACTGCTTTCATCAAAATCAGCCTGAATGGCTTGAATTGTAGAGTCTTTGTTAGTGCCTTCGTTTCAACTGTAATAAAGAAAAGTTTGCACAAGCTGTTCTGCAAGCAGATCTACATGAGTGATGACTTCTGGCAAGAGGGCAATATATGCAGCTGAGGGCAGGATAATAAGCAATAATCTCTTTTCTCAGCACAGCTGCTTGTAATATGCTGACACCCTTCCATGTAACTATTTAAATTGTTTAACCAACCACATCAGGAAAAAGTGCATCACGGCTAGGTCATCAGAACTTGCATTCAAAGAAGCAACTGTTCTTTGTCAGGTAACACAGAGACTCAAATTAGCTAGTGTGAGTGAGGTAAGGAGCAAGGACTGAGGGAGCAGAGTATCAACAGAATACATGAGTTTTGTCAGCACTTACTGGTCTTGCACTGACTGGTCCCTTACTGCTCAGACAATCCACAGTTGTGAACGCCAGCAATGATGTAATGGTTAGTTCAAAAAAGAAAAGGTACTTAGATCACATGAACATCACTCAGCTATCAGGTCGCTGCTGCATTAGAACCTACAGATCCTGCTGTGCAAAATCAACTCAGTTGTACAAGTACTGAACAAAGCAGGGGCTTACAGGGAGGAAAGACCAGAAAAATTAATAGAAAGAAAATCCATGGAGAGTTATTAAAAATACATAAACTATATCCAGCTCAGAAAATCCCTAATCAGAAAACTGAGACTAGGAAAGCAATGAAGTGAGATATCATTTATATATATATCCACCCTGTCCTAGGAACCTACTTCTGTCTTCCACAGGAGAAAGGACACTGGGCTAGACAGACCTTTGGGGCAGACCATACAAGCTCCTTGGTTCTAAAGCCTCACTTGCTCAGTTAAGTCCCACTTGTAAACTAGAGAACCATATCTGGAAAATTGTAACATCTATTCACTTTTGTGCTTGAAAGTTTAAATTGAACTTACAGATTTCATCCAATGCTTAAAGTTTTTTGAGGCTGTCCAATCAATTGCTGTTTGTTGTTTTTTTGTTTTGTTGTTTGTTTTTTTAGACTGTGTGAGTACCAGGAAATTAAATAATTAACAAACTCACAAAAGTTTAGCCTTCTTCACTTCAGTAATAACATTTTTTTTTATGGGGTGTAAAATTTTCTTATTGCTTCAGTACGGGAGAAGCAAGACCACCCTATAAAACTGAGAACCTAAGACTGGGTCAGGAACAACAGCTCTAGTAACATCTGTATCTGTGACTCAGGGGAAGTACACAGGGAAAAAGAGTGAGAATCAAGGAAGCCACGAAATGATTTGTACAACTCTGATAGCTCAAAACTTTCTTTTATTCTATTGCATTTCCACACTCAATTGCACCATCAATCAGCTGTTCTTCAAATCAAATTACATTCATTGTAAATATCATAAGCAAAATTCAGGAGTATTGAAGAAAAGTTATTTTTTCTCTATCTAGAATATGCTGGGAATGCCTCTGGCAGTCTAGTCCTGCTGAAAGGTACAAGGGGTTTAGATTATGGTGTACATGGTCAGCCTTCAAACCTTTGCTCATCAGAGTATGAAGATGAAATTTCAGCTGATTTCATTCTCCAAATCACAAAGAAAGTATGTCTACCTCATCCTTCTCATCTTGCCATTCCTCTCTGCATCTTTTGTTGACTCCAATCAACTTCTATTGAGTAAAATATCAGTGTAATGCTTTTCAGTTGTTAGTTTCATTATATCCATTAAGTCTGATTCAGTACTGAGTGGCTGAACCTGGTCTTTGAATGACAGCAGAAATGTCAATATCCACAATTCACTTCTCAAGCTCTGAAATAAGCACCTTTTTGCCTTCTTCTAGAGAAGAACAATTATTCTCTTCAAATTCAGCCTCAAAATTTTCCTTTACTCTGACAGATAACAGAAGCTGAAGATATTGCATCACTACCAAAATCATTTTCTATCACACTGAAGAATATGGTCTCATGGCTTCCTTATATTTTGAAACCAATACATTGCATCTTTTCTTAAATTTACACTTTACACGGACAATCACTTTGCTCCCCTTTGGCACTATGCCTTAGACAACAGGGTTCTCATCCAAAACCAAGGTATTTGTGTGCTACAACACTATAAATGAATGATACCAAATATTTTTCAAAATGACCTTTTTGTTATTAGAGAGTCTAGCAAATCCTCTCATTACTTAGATTCTATTTTTAGCGTGCTAGATTTGCAGTTATATTAAGAAATCCTACCTTTTTAATGGAGAAACAAGTGGTAACTTCCCTTTTAACATTTATTTAGGTATCAAAGAGATAAAGTAGGACATGCACAAAATTTTTATTTATTTATTTGAAAATCACATTCAAAATTGAAGTGAGTTAATGAACTTCAAAGTAAATGGCAAATTAACAGTTGCCTTCCATTACATCATTGCAGACCAAGAGTCCAGGTATAAATACATCACTTTTTCCAGCATGTAACATAACAGCATAATTCTACTGCACTAGCTTCATGGTATGAATAATATAATGCCCAAACACTGATTCATAAGACTATAAAACAAGAGACTGATGTGGAACACAGTTCAGCCACTTTTTATCCCACTGAGACAATGTGATTCATATAATAGACATTTTCTAAATGTCTGAGAAACTACTCCACATGAACTCCTCCATAAAAGAAGGATTAAAGTATGATACAAATCCTTAACTATCCAGAAGGCTTGACACACTGAGGCATGACAGGATCCAAAGAAGAAGTGCTCTAACACAAAAGGTATTTAGTTACAGAGATTTAAACAGAAGTCCTAAAATGACCATCTTACTTTTACAAATAAGTGCTGAGGTAATTTACTAAATTATGTGTTATTTTGATAAATTATATAAATTGTATTGGTAGGATACATTGTCATATCACAGTCCATTCACTGATTTGGCTGTTTTCCAGTCACGGTATTTGACTTCCCTGTTTCTGCTTAAATTCTACATTTCATGGCACAAAACAAAACTAATGTGGCTATTCCCACCTTTCTACCTACAGTTGCTTCCATAAAGTGACTGGTCATCTACAGAAGTGTCAGATGTTAAAAACCAACGTCTCATTTCACTACTGGACCTATAAAGAGCTCAGTGCTTTATGCAACCAGCTCTGTCTCAGAAGAGCCATAATGGATGAAGACTCTTGGAGAGGCTGGATCCTGCACAGAGACACCAAAGTCAAAAGAGGAAAGGTTCTTTTCACATTCACCACTTCAGATTTGCGTCCATGTGGCTTCAGGTAACACTTTGGCCTTTTCTGCAGACAAAGTTTATGCTGTAGTTGTGAGTAAGACTGTGTATAAATAACTGAATACAAACTGATTGCATCTTTTTTTTTTTCATATGCATCTTTTCTTTCTCTGATTTATATTAATTCTCAGTTATTTATAATATCATAACAGTTAGCAATTTCAGATTTTGTAATGTCTGAGACCTGCAAACAACCCAGCACAATCCAAGATAACAGTGTTTTTTTGTTTGTTTTTTTGCTGTTCTTCCTCACAGCCCTTGACTTCCAGCTTAATATGCCCATATATGCAAAAGTAAAATATCTCGAAAGACATGTCATACCACAGTAATTAATCACATCTTGATACTGTTCTAACACATACTATGCTGGAGACAATGTCACTGTCATAAGCAAAGTTTCCCTTACCAGCTACTTCACTTTTCTTTCTGCCATAGTCACTTAAAGACCCTTTGGCCTCTTTTGAACATTAAGATAAAAAGAAATCAGGCTTGAGCAAAGAGCTATCGAGATTGCACAGTAACATCATCTGTTTTACTGATGACTACAACACTGGCAAAGTTTCGTTTTTCAAGTTTTACAGTATTTTTTCTGCCTTTGCATTTCAATAAACAAAGTTTCACCTGTTAGATCTTCTGAAATGTGAGAAAACAGTCTCGTTTCTGAGATAACTAAAAATTCCGTCTCTTCTTCACTGATGCTCTTCTAGCATTAATAATTTATCATTTCAATGTGCTAACTGTTATGAACTAATTGTAGGGCTAACTGTTGAGCCCATTCAGCTCTTTCTTCCTCATATCCTTAAACCTTGAATCAAACTTCTTGTTCCTGAAATTAAATATGAAAAACTAACATCACTGTCTTAGAGATCATCAGAATTAACATTTAATATAGCTCAAATGAAAACTAATAACCTGAATGCCATGCCAGTGGGGAATAACACCACTAAGATCCTTTACATGATCAGAGCAAATTCTTTTGATATAATTGGTAGTACTAAAGACAAAGAAGAAAGAAGGATGTTTAACAGTCATCAATAACATACTTGCATTTAACATCAATAACACTTCTGCATTTTCTTGTTTGAAAATTTTAGCGGGTAAACATCTTTTATAAAGAATATCAGTCAGCACTAATCAAAATATAGAAAATTTGCTAATCTTTTGGAATGTGTAACTGTCAGGAAATGAAAAAAATCTTTATTTGACTTCTTTGTTGTCAACCAGAAATTGGATCTGGTAGCTTGCCTACCATCACTGAGAAAGTTCAAACAATCAAATTTTCAATGATGCCATGCACAGATATAGAATATGGCCTTAATACTATGGATATTCATCCTTGATTATCTTATCTGCAAAATTCTATTGACAAATTATATACAAGCCTAGTATCTCTGTTCTTCAGAAGACTAGATGACTAAAAATACAGTTACCTGCTTTTTAATACTGTAAACATGAGCTAGAATAATTAAATAAGCAGAGGGCTTCTAACAAGCTGCTGCATTTTCTCCAAGGCATAGGCTTTTTAAAGTGATTTATTATTTCACTGCTAACTCTCTACTTCTATGATGTTAAACTACAGGAACGATGACAGAGTATTATGAAACAGCATTTGCAACTACTCTACAACAACTTTACCAGCTGATTTGAATCAGATTCCACCTAGTCTCTCATTCAACATCCGATTTCCTCATAAAAGATACACAGAAGAGACTGCTACATCACTGAATCGATCTGAATTTTCCTCGACCCTCCAGTGTAAAGATCAACTTAAGCACAGAGGTTCAGATCTCATTCAAATAATTCAGTCATGATTAAAATAAATTGGTCATTTCAAGAAAAAAAAAAACTTTCTAAACATCTTCATAAAAGTATTTTGTAGAAATGAATACCTTGCTTCATTATGATTTCTGCTTAAAAAGCAGTAACTTCTAAGTTTTTGGGTTTTTTTTTGACTTAGATATTATATGAAATAAGCCAGAGACCTGCTTAGGAGGAGAAAAAAAAAATAATGGAAACCAGCCCTTTCCAAAATGAGAACAGCTTAAATAATCGCAGAGAAAAATTATACAGAGATAATTGCCAGAATGGCAAAGGCAATCAAAGGCAATAACTGACAAAGAAACACTGAAAGTATTTGACTCATCATAGGACAGACAGAAGAACAGAATAATGTACATTATTTTTAATTATTTCTGTACAGAAATAAAACTTAGCAGGCCAGCATTTCTAGAAGACAGAGTCACAAGCAACTTCTCACAAAGAATGTCAATTATTACTAAAAATGAAAATATCAGTCACATGGAGGTGTGTTCTATTTAGATGAAATGATATTCAAATGTAGTTAGTTCTTGGAAAACATTTTCCTCCTACACACATTCTTAAAGCTGACTTTTTCATTATGGAAATGATTACTACTATTACACTACTTCCATATTTCTACATTGCCACCCCAGTGATTGATATAATTTACCTTAATCAGACACTCAAAAATCGATGAGCTGCACTGCAGATAGTTTAAGTCCCAATATGCCACTTCTGCAGTAGTGCAGATTAGTCAGGGGTTACTTTATCTTTGCAAAACAAGCAAAAATATACTACCCGTCCTACACATATCTGCAGATTAAACATAAATCAATAGAATCTTTTACAGATAACAGATTTTAAAATTCTTTAACAATACAACTTATCTGCCATAATCCATACTTAATTCAAAAATCATCTCTATACTTTGCTGAAGTTGACTTCTCATGGCTTACATTGTAAAAAGATACCATGCTCACCTATACTTAGATCTCTAAACACCAGGAAAATATCTAAACTTTCCCCCTGAGATGACTTCAATGCCAGTGGGCATCCCAATATTCTTTTTGTAGAAGGGACAGTAAAGGCCATACATAAAGCAGAGAACTGCCACACCTCACTTTCAATTAGAGTCAAAAGTGATTTTTTGGTCATGTAGAGTCAGCCAATTTAACTCTATACTCGTTCTGTACTTAATACTGATATTACCTAATCTATTACAAAAATTATACTTAGTGCCACCCTTCACAATCTACTGAGCTGTGGAGTACAGAGCCCCTGTAATATATTATCTACATTTACTTTTTCATGAGCCTGTACTGACAAGGATGCTATGAGAATAACAGAAATTCTTATTATGATAATAAACATTCATCTGCCTTTGTGAGAAAAATCCACATAACCAACCAAAGAAATAATGGATCTATACATTTGTAGAGACACTTCCCAAAGCTCAGTGCTTATTGATGTGTTTATGTAAATCCCTAAAATTAACACAGTTCCTGACGGAATTAGGCTATGTACATATAAATAGAAGAACACAATTTCTTTTAGCACTGAAAATGTGACATTTGGTTGCTTTTTCTTCATATCTGCTTATTTGGGCATTTCTGGATGGACTTCAGTTACATTTGCTCAGCCAGTGCAGAACCTTACCTCTGTCAATGGCCTTTGTCAGAGAATAATTAAAACCTTTCTACAAGAGAAAAAATAAATAAAAGAACAAATTTAAAACAACAACAACAAAAAGCCCACACATTGTTTTTCCTGAATCCCTGAAAAAAAAAATCTCAATATTATTTTCAAAAGGAAATTTTCTAGCCAAGATCATTCCCTCTAGTCTTTGCATCTGTGGAAACTTTAGTCAGATGCTAAGAATGTAGAAGCAAGATTCCAACTCCATGTTTGTCCTTTGTTTAGGAGCAAAACCTAGAGCACCCCAGCACAACCTAGCAAAACCTTGGGAAAACAACAACAACAAGAACAACAACAAACAATGAAACCCAGGACAACCTGGAACAAACACCCTAATGCAACCCAGTCACTGATATCACTAGTGTATACCAATGCTCAATTCAGGTGAGCAGTTACTCAACCACATATTTAAACTATGACTCTAGTAATACATTACCAATCTCAGAATGCTTCTCTGTTCAACTCAGTTATGTAGTTTGAAGTCAATTACTAGAACAATTACATTTTTAAATATAGATCCACAACCACACACAGACCAGAACTGCCTATGATACTATGGTATCTTTCAGTTCCTTTTACCTCTCCTATCCTGACACTCTCTGGACCAAGAATCACTGTACCCTGTGAGTGTCTTGCTCCTGAAGTGTGACTATTCACAATAATCCTGTTTTCAATAAGAAATAGCCTCTTTTAAGATAATTTCAGAAAGCATTTCACCTTTAGAGCATGGAAAAAATCTGCAACTGAACTTACAAATTCATATTAACCTTAACCACAGCATTGCTATCATTTCACTATTACTCTACACATATTTGTAAAGATAATGCTACTTCCTTTCCATTTTAGTCAGCCTGGCTTGCTGGTGTGACAGCCTAAGGCAAACTCCCTTCATCAACCCTTTAACTGCATACCCTTTAACTTGCATATCTTTAACATTATATTTAACAACCCTTTAACTTGCATATCTTAGGCTTGGTTAAGCAGGAATACAACTAATAATTTTCTTTTGTCTGAGCCTGTTACCATCAATGAGAGAATATTAAAGTGAGTTTACTATCCATAACTCACAGAGCAATATCAAAGAAGGAAAAAATCATAAAACACCTTTCACTGAAAGACTAAACTACCACTCATACTACGTATAATGAAACTTGTGAAGTAGAGATTTTGTCAGAAGTGATAATCTGAAGTCCTAGAACGGCAGGAAACAAGAGAAAAAAAGATAACAAATCATAAAAAAAAAAAAAAAGAAAAAAAAAAAGCATGAGACTGCAACAATATTTTGTTCTACAAATTGTATTTTCAGGAAAGTCAATGATCTTTCCATTGACCCACTGTATTTCACTAAATGTCATTACATTGATCTACTTTGAAGATACAACTTCCTTTTTCTATGCAGGGGGCAGGATAGAGGGAAAATAAACAACAGCAATATCTACAACAAAAAGCTGATTTAGACTCACATATACGTATCACACGTTCTTTATGTTGTGCTATTACTTGTGCTTATAATATGCAAGCTCACTTTACCATGATTCTGGAAATCAAAAAAAAATAAAATCAGTATGGTTTTTGCTGTCTTTGATACTTCATCCAACTAACCAAAATCACAGAATCCCTGAATGATTCAGGGTTGGAAAAGATCACTAAAAGTCATGTTGTCCAAACTCCCTGCTCAAAAAAGGTCACCTAGAATAGGTTATCCAGGACTATGTCTAGATCAAAGAACTCTGAAAAAGTGAAGACCAAATATTTTCTGATGCATTGGATGTCTCCTGGATGACTGGATAAATGAAAACAAACCTTCTAAAATCTGTCACCTGCACATAGTCACAACATGTTAAGCCAAAATTCTATTTTAGGACACATCTTTTAAACAGCATTCAAGGAATTATCGTGGGTCTTAACTTAATTTAAAATGAAGCAGTGTGATGAGTTCAGAACAGAAGGCCATTAGATTCACTTATCAGCCTATGGGTGGACACTATTGGGACTTCAGATACTTCCAAGTCCTTTTTAATTCACAGCGGTGGATGTTTTTTGTTGGTTTCCTTTATGAATAAAGAGCCAGGACAACAATAGTTGTTTTTTTTTATGCTTTATGAACCTTTATTTTTGTACTCTTCCTGTTACTCTCTACTTATTTCTCACTTCAAGATTGAAGAAGTTGAACTTTGGGTGCTGTTTTTTTTTTTGGCACAGTGCTATGCTCTGGGTCACCTACTATTCTGTTGAAGAGATGATATATTTTGCACTTAAGAGTTCTTAGCATGAAGCCTTCTGATCACCTGCAGCAGTCATAAATCTGGCTAGGCATAACCTCCTTATAAACAACCGAAATAACAAAATTCAAGCATTCGATTTCTGCCTCTAATAGCAAATTTTGGAGGAGCAGTGAGAAATCCTTCACTAGTATGGGTCCAGTCTCAAAGGAAGTCACAGCACAATATCTGTGGGTTAAAATTGTCTGTTGATTCTCAGTGTAAAGAAATTTAACCTACAAGCCATGAATTACCTTATGCATTGTCAAACTCACAGCAATTAGTGCATAAATCTGGCATGAAACTTCAGAAATTTCAGTAAAAGATCAACAGTTACCAGGTACATTTCAGATAGAATTATAATAGTAAAAAGCATTTGGTCTTCAAATTATCAAATTTCTCTTCCATACCGACAGCAATCAAGTCTATATCCAGTCCTTTACTTTGATTCGTGTATGTGTATGGGTGTGTGTGTAAAATACACATAACTGGAAAGCAAAGCTTATAGTCACAGGATAGGAAGAAAAATATGAGCAACAATTATGAATTATGATTTATAAAAGAGTACTTGCAATCCTTTATGTGAGCTTTCATATATCAAAATTCAAAGGAAATTACTGGCTAAGCATATAGAACTTGTATTTACTATTTATTGAATTTTATTTCTGAAGCACACCTCCTTCTGTCTGATTTTCTTTGTAATACTTATGGTTACGTACAAGCAGAGCTATGTTGTACCTTTGTATATTTCAGCTGCACATTCTGTTCTTATTATTAGGACAGTCTGTGAAGTTTTGGTACTGCCTACAAAATGACCACATACTCATTTGCTGTATTTGTCCAGAATTCTTACATTTGCATGACTTTGATAGTAGTACAAATTAAATGCACATTTGTAAGTTGTCTGTACTTTGAGAGTTAAAATATAAGTCCAGGTCCAAACTAGCAACAAAAACTAACAGACATCTCTATCTGAATGAATGCAAAAATATCAACATGTACTATGCTTTTTATGTTCTGCACATCTAAAATCTGCCCTCAGAACCTCCTGTTCTTGAAGCCTCATAACACTGACATTATGCATTGGATTGAAATTACTAAACCTACGTATCGAAAGCATTTTAGACATCAGATTGTATCTACAACTCCTGTTCTGACACAGAAAACACAGAAGTAACAGGAGCCCCATCCAGACACATGGGACACCTATGTTTAGGGAACTGAATCCCACATGCTAGCAGGAACACCCTCCTAGGAACTGAACAGAAAGGTTGACTACTGCTTCAAGATACACCACCTCAGAAATACCTGTGTCCTTCAGCTATTTTTATGACCCTCATTTTGACAATTAATACAAATATCTTGTGTCCAGATGCCCAAGAGACTTCAGAATTGTCCTACCAGTTCACAGTACACAGAAACAGGCTGGAGTTTACATTTGCCTGTCTGAATGCAGGTGTGATAGTATGCTAAGATTCTTCCAGAAACAGGGTGGTAGATACAGAGAAGATCAGCTTTCAAAATTAAAGTAGCTATTTTTCACCAATCTTTCCTAAAAGGATGGTAACTTCTCCCATGTTTATTAGTGCATTGAGGATTCTACTGCAAGAAAAGTGGTAGGGAAGTCTCTACACTGTGAGATGAATTTACCACGAAAATTTTTCATCTGACTCAGCTATGATCCATCTCACTCATTCATATATGCTATGAAGCAGCATTCATATATGCTAGATGAAGCAGCTTGTCAGAGGTTTTCATTTTTCCTTCATGTTTCCTGAATATTTAGTAGTAATCAAACTCAGTGCAATTTTAGGTGTACTTGAGACTGAGATACCTGAAAACAGCTTGAAGATTTTGGAGGCAAGGCTTATAACAACAAAGTTCTACAGTATACAGTGAAAATTACACACATGAAATGTTCGTAACTGTGAATGCTCAAGATTTTTAACTGGCTATCTTTCACCTACTTTCCACCAGACCTACTTTTATTCCAGCTCTGCTGGAAGAAGTATCACCTGCTGACCCCCTTACAAGGAAACAGAGCCAATATTATTTTCCAAAGTACACTCCTCAGTAAAAACAGGGGGATAAAAAATGACATAATTACAGAAGAAGAAAACTACACTTAGCTTATGTTCCTTTTAAGTACAAACCTTTGGCAAATATGTCACAGAATTTCATTTGAAACAATCAATAAAGCAGATGTTAAGCTGAGCAAAGTGAAAAACCGCAGGCAGTAGTGACAAAAAACAATGAACTCGTAGAATACAGACATTTTCAAGAATGACAGTCACATGAATGTTTACAAGATTACATTGTTCTACTTTATGCTTTCTACAGTATAGGTGAACTAGGGATTCAGGCTGAGAGATTTTCCAAACATATGTCAGTGTCAACGCCCCAAAACAACTATGAGTTTAGAAAGCCATCAAACAGTAACACGTTCCTATATTTCATGTTGAAACATAAAAATGGGATCAAAAACTCTATCTGAATCAGGATCATACTATGTGCTAAGAACAGAATAATATAGCAACACTACAAAGTATTAATGGGATTTCCTTGTAAGTAGTTTATAAATGAAAGGAACCAAAAAGGCTTCAACAGCATGTTTTGAAGGAAAAACGTCTGTGTGTCTGGAACACAGGAAGATATATCCAATCAGTCGCACTGGTTTGCCCGGCATGAAAAGACATGTAAGTATGTTCTGCTTCCATGCAATTTACTAGATCAAAATGTTGTTTTATATTGTTCATAACTTTTTTTTTTTCTGGTTTTCTCTTCTAACATATTTTAGAAAGTGACTCACCAGGAATTTACTTTGCTTTTATTCTCTTTTTTATTATAAAGACTTTGAAGGACAGTCAGTAGACATAGTGAACAGAGAAAAGATTAATTTACTGTGTCATTTGAAAGAACTTGAAAACAAAGAAGACATCAAAAGATGTAATCGGTCAAGTCATCAAAATTTGCTAGTATTCCATATGCTGAAGGATTGAATATTATACAAAGCAGACAGATTCACAGTCTGGCATTTTCTTGTTCCATACAGAGGAATAACATAGCTAGCAGTTTTCTATGATAAAGATCACTAAGCAGAGGAGTATGTAGTAGCTACTGCCTTTTATACAAGTCTCTTATTAGAAAACACTGGTTTTAAAATGACTCAGTGAAAAAGCTGCTATTTTCTGTCCTATTTATCATTTTTGGTTCAAAAACTGCATTTTCCTATTATATTTTGAAGAAAAAAAAAAAAATAAATGGTCTGAATTTCACATATTCTAGCACTTAAAACGGGATAAACATTTCTATGGACATCACAACTTCATCCCAAAAAGGTGTTCAGGCACCTTTCAGATACATCTCAGAAAGCTAGAATATTTTAAAATACTAAGTTTCAACTAATACCTTCTCACTAAACAAGATTTCCAGTGTTTTCTCACCCTTAAACACCAGAAATAGTTAAGCAAGACTCCTCCCCAAAAATGGATTAGAAATAAATGCACACATTCACTTATACTGACTTTCTAAACCATTACAAAGCAACACTTTTTCAGCCATCATTGCCTGACTATGAAATTTGAGGCCACCTGTTGTCCTCTGAAACAACAGCTTCAAGAAAAATTTTACAAATCATGAAACCTGAGACAAAAGAAGTGGCAATTCCTTCCATGATTGCAATGGGAGCAACAGTAAATCAGCACTGAGCACTACTGAAAGTAGTCCCAACATAAGAAAATTAATAGACTGTAGTATTACATGAAGCACTTTAGCTCAGAAGCTCCTGAGCTGTATTAAATTAGACACACAGACACACAAAAAGCCCTTTCTCATTATTAAGCTTTAATCTATGCCCAACAATTGGTTTTGTACAAATCTGTACAATAGCCTTTCCCATACATACCCAAGAGTAGGGTTTACTACATGCAGTGTTGGTGCCTGATATTTTAATCAGAGCTAGTAAGAAGCATTCAGATCTAAAGGAAGGTAAAAGGCTCTGAACAAGGAGAACAGACAGAACAAGGCAGAGATCCCTTTAGAGCTACAGTTGATGCTTCTCTACCTTAGAAACAGAAATGCTGAAACAGTGGCAGCATTGGTAGGAACAGCCAATTGTGATGCTGCACAGTGAGAACTGACTTCAGACCCCTGAATCCTTCTCCATCAATGGCAGAAGCAAGCTCAACTCTCCAGGTCTCTGGCACACACAAAGTAGAAAAGGGCTAACAGCTATTTTTGCTATCCACAGTAATTTACTGCCATTAGAAAAAGAGAGAAGAAAGAGGAAAGAAGGAAGAAGAAAGAAGAAGAAGAAAGGAGAGATGAGAGAGGAGAGAGGAGAAGGAGGAGGAAAAAGGAAGAAAAGAAAGAAAAAGAAGAAAGAAGAAAAAGGAAGAGGAAGAGGATGAAGAAGAACAGGAGGAAGAAGAGGAAGAAGAATAAAAAGAATAAGAACAGGAAGAAGAATAAGAAGGAGAAGGAGAAGAAGGAGAAGAAGGAAAAGAAGAAGAAGTTAATTCATTTTATTTATTAAGTATAACAGTAATGCAATAATGTGCTTGATTCAAACTACCTTTTCAAGACATTGTACATCATCTACATATGCTGAATTCCTATACTTTTTCAGATGTAACTGGGATGTGTCTCAGATATGTTACAGTAAAATATGGTATAGAACAACCACTTCATATCAGTTATCTCACTCCAATATTTGCTAATTGCAAGTATTTTCCTTTTGATTAAGTAGCTGGTTTGTTTTCATTAGCAGCCAGACTCTTCAACATGATCAAAAACAAAAAAATGTTACACTAAACAGAA